CCTGCTCCTTGACCTGAGCCTTGGTGAAGGCGAAATCGCGGGCACCGAGCTGGAGACCCAACTTGATGGAGATGTCACGCAGAAGCTGCAAGTGTCTCAGAGAGTTGGTCCAGTCCTTCTCAAGGGAGAAGCGGAAGCGGATGGTGACCTGCTTCTCAAGCTCGGCCCGGAGGGACTCGGGAGTGACATTCTCAAAGGAGAAATCGCCCTCTGGGAAAATCGCACGCAGAGATTCGTCAATCTCAGCCTTAGGAGTAGCGTTAACGTCCGAACCAAGAAGACAGTTCAGCAAGTGAGAAAGGCAAGGGGCAACGAAGGGGGCGGGAACGTTGTTCAGGTAGCGGTTGGCAACGTGTTTGAAGGCACGAGTAATCATCTCCTGAACCAGGAGGATGGACAGGGCCTGCAGGCGAGGTCCCTTCTCGGCGGACTGCTGGGCCAACTTTCCGAGATAACGGAGGTTAATACCACGCTTGTGCAACAGTTGGGTCAAGGATTGACCGTCCATGGGGAAGCCGACGTCACCGTCGTGCAGGTCCTTAAGCAGGTCGGGGATGACCTTGGACCGCAGGTGATCACAGGCATCGCGGACTTCCTGCTCATCCTTTGCCCATTGCTCCTTCTCCTCGGCAGTCTGGGGCACCTGACCGCTGAAAACATCGGGGTTGAGAGCAAGGTTGAATCCAGAGATGTCAACACGCTCCTGTTCCGCGGTCTCCTCCTCGGTCTTGCCCTCCTTGGCAGCCTCGGCGCTAGCAGCCTTGCGGTTTTCCACCTCGGCCTTCACGTACTGGCTCATCTTGTGGCGCCAGTAAGACTCGACCAACTCAAGTCTGAGAACAGACATGCGGTGCGGGTAAACATCGCTGCCATCCTCTTCCTGCCACTCGGCATCCAGAGGAGCCACGCGGTAGAGATCCAGGACGTACTTCCTACCGTCAGTACCCAAAAGTCCCTTGGTCTCGACGCTACCTTCGAGGTCGTGACGCTGGTTCTCCTTGTCCCAAACAGGGTGCTGCTTGACACGGAGAGCCTTCGAGAGCTTCTCGAAGACCGGGACAAAGTCGGCGTGGGTGGCCACAACCTCCTTGCCCTCAACACCGCCGTAGTCAATCTGGTGCTCACCGGGCTCGCGCTGCTTGAAGATACCAGGAACAATACTCTGGCCAACAATGCGCTTACCCAGGTAGTCGACCACCACGGTTCCCGGGGTGAACAGACCCTCGATATCAAGCTGGTTAACAGCCTTGATACCGAGAACGTCCTTACCCACAGCCACACGTGCGGCTTCGTCGCCACCCTCGGAGGTGAAAGTTCCAACACCATCGGCACCGAAGGAGTAGAAGATGTTGTTGTAGACAAAGATCTGGGCGTCCCGCGCCTCAGTGGGGTTTAGAGGAGCAACCTCACCCCGGGCAACCAGGACTGCACCGCGAGCTGCGGCCTCGTTATAATCGGCGAACAGCTTGGAGGTCAACCGTTCCCGGAACACGCGGTCCTGAACGGTCTCGCGGGGCAGCTCGCGGGTGGTCTGGAATTCCTCGTTCCAGTCACGCAAAGTCTCGGCGTTATCAACACCAGAGATCAGGTAGTTCTCCTGCGAACGGGTGATATCGGGCTGGTGGGCATTCAAGCTCGAAGTGCTGGGGGCGATGAGCCATGGGCTGTTGGGGATGGCGTTCTGGAAGGGGAAAGTGGTCAAAAGATCCTTCTCATTGTTGTACTCCTGCAGAGCCTCGAAGGATTCATTGAACGAGGGCGAGAGTTGGGAGATGAGAGTGAGCAAGGAGTGGGCGCTGCCCTTCTTGGGGTGTGTTGGCTTCGGGAATGGATCGAATCTGATGCTCGAGTTCTTGTTCACGAAGAACCCAGACACATGGGCAGTGATCTGGAATTGTTCACCTTCGTTAGTGGCAACCACAAGGTAGAGCAAGTGACCCTTCTGGCGGAGGTTGTACGGAACAGGGTTCCATGCAGACAGCGAGATGGACTTCACTGTTTTGGGCAGAGGAGCCTGTGCGGTGGGCAGGATAGTCTGCAGCGGTGAAACTCCAGTCAGGTCATATTTGGAGAGCGAGTGTTCCTTCTCGGACTCGCTAGCCTTGATAGCGTCTGCCGTAATAGCATCATGCAGGGACAGGCCAGCGGAGATACCATGGAGGTTATCAACACGGTCACCAGAAGCACCAATTAGCTCCCTAATGCGCACAACATGCATACGGGCCTCCTTTTCGGTGTAGGGATCCTCGACCAGGACGATCTCGGAGTCGGCCTCGAGGTCTGGGACCTCAGACAGCTCGACGAAGTCGTTAATGCGCTTTCCGTTGAACTCGAGGTGGAAGCACGTGTATTGGAAGGTTCCCGGTAACTCGACGATGGATTGGCGGACATCCTGGACCTGTTCTTGGCTGGAGACCTAGAGAAACAAACGGGTCAGATAAATTTTTTCACTTCGTGGCCTTTCAAAACATCAAACCCACCATCACTTGAATCTTATGCGGTGCATGAGGGAGCTTCACGGAGATCTGGAAAAGACCTATAGTCAAGTTAGAACGCTGCTGAACAGTTCTGCGCCTGTTTACCAAACATACCACCCGCGTTGTCCTCCTCTGCGCCCTCGGGAGCGTTGCCATTGGCAATCTCTTGAGAAGCTTGAGGAGCCTCTGTTCCTCCGTTAGCTCTTATGCCTTGCATCTTGTTCTATCCGGAACCCATGCTGTATTCCAATGGACCTTGCCCAGCATGGAGGTTCCAGGGCCAACACACACCTTTCGAGTGCTCCAACTCCTCATTGGTCTGTGCCATTATGTCGAGCCGGTTATAAAAAAAGAGCTTCGACGAAGTAATAACAGTAAACCCTTATCTCACCACCGTCACGCGAGTGAGAGACAAAGTTCGGGGAAATGGAACGGGAAAAGAAAAGATTGAGGACCTGCGGGGGATTCGACAGGTAGAAATTTTAGTATAGTGTACAAAGAGAACAAGGGCAATTGAGCAAGAAACAAAAAACCCCGTACCCCAGGAAGTTGAAAAAAGGCAAGGATGAATGGATAGGACGGTGAAATTGGGAAACCGGAGAGAAAATTTCTCGGATGCGGCATACCCTCGGAAGTGCTCGGGCGGTGGGTTCGGGGAAGGGCGCCGCGGAGAGGGACATTTTTCTCCACAGTCTCTGCAATTTAACTGTGAGAAAGATGGTGTAATTAGTTCGGAGTGGCTGTATATAGAATAGAAATATAGTATCTCCTAAGTAGGGCTATATAGTTATGTAATTTTCATCGATTGTTAATACCAGTTTCATAGATCTACAAGTATGGTGCTGGGGTACCAATGTTTTTCGACTGTGCGTCAACGTGCATTAGCGATTGTGTACACCGTGGCATGTTATTTCATTGGTGATAAACCATTTATATTGGAAAGCTTTATCTTTAATTGGTCCATATTAATGGGTAGAAGAATATAAAAATGTACATTGTAAAGACGGTTGAATTTTTACATAGAAGCTAACAGGGCGAACACCAACTATGTAGTTGTCTAGTTATTTATACTATGGACTTGACTGCGGAGAAGGGTTCATCTCCAAATTTAGAGATGTAGACAGTTCAACATTAAATGTATAGATAGTAACATCTATATCTTCATGTCCACAAGAAACTTCCTTTCTCAATGACGTATATTAGTTAGTGACCTTGTGGTTCGGATATATATGTGACAAACTATACGGAGTAGTTAGACCAAGGATACCAGATCGCAGGAAAAAGAAGCTAAAACCTATGTTATGTTGAGATAATTAACTATTACGCTTCGTATCTACCTCAAAGATCTACTTTATAAAATTTAAATGCTTGAAAGCCTTGCAATATCTGTATGCTGTGTCCCCATCGGCTTTGATGGAGTTAAGTGGTAGCCTTTCACCATAGCAATGCCAAGTTCGAATACATGAATTGTAAAAAAAAGAAAAGAGAGCTGCATATCAAAGTGAAACTCATATTGACGTACGAAATTGAGAGTGTAGCGACCGTAGAGAAATAGTGCTTGGGTGTTTTTGCTTGGCAGTAAACTACCCAGGTAAATGTAACTAATTATTCACCTCTACTGATAGATAGAAATACTAATTGGATGAGCCCAGGGGTTGAATCTCTTATATGTCAGTTGGAGTCTACTTAGTTTTGCTATATACCGCAAAGGCTACTACAATATATGTATGGTATAGATGGCTTGTTTGTTTACCTCCTAGAGATAACTAACTAGTTAGTTTTTCTATGGATCCACCGTCTTCTACACATACTTTAAGAAAGAAAAAAAAAAGAAACCAATAAAAAAAGAAATCACCATATATTTAATAAAATACTTGACCTAGAGTGATGAATTGAATCTATAATATTGTGCTCGCGCCCCGTGAATATGACGATTGAAGATCCATGGATGTTCCTAATTAGATCGCCAAGCCTTCTGCATCCCTGGTTCATCGAGGCTGAGGCCAACTCCACAACTTTAGCCACAATCTTCTTTTTTTTTGAACTCCCTTGTTTCTTCTAGTCTTTCTTTAACTTCTTTTTGTCTCTTTGTTTCCTTGTTTCTCTTCTGATATCCAATCTCTTTCATCTCATCAATTTCCTAGAGTCTCTCTTTCAACAGTGACGCGTCATTCCCTGGAGGCGTGGCTTTGCGTGAAACATCTACAAGTCTAGAATCCTAGCAGTACTCTCCTTAAACCTTTGTGTTTTATATTGATACATCCCCTACACAAACCGTTTGGGGCTCTGATTACCTTTGACGAAGATATACATTCCCACTCTTCACTACCCACATTTTACTTAAGGACTTGGCACCCCGGCATACAAACGCCAAGAAGCCAAATCAGGATGCTATGGAGCCGACTTATACAGCCTGCGAGGTCCTATGCCCGACAGGGCCTGCTGAGGCCTCTCAGGATTAACAGCCGCGTTGTGATACATACACCCAAGCGGTTCAACTCAAACCCCCAGAACACTGGTCAAATGACCCCGGATCCTACCGATCAGAATGATTCGGATGAGGGCAAGGGCAAGGGCCAGGGCCGTAACAGCGATTCAGATCCCAACTTCAAATCTACGATTCTCAAGATGCTTGAAACTGCGGCAACCACGGCGGCATCAATTGCCATTCTAGGGTAAGGTTTATCTATATTATTCAAGACATGCTTTTCTGTGGCTAATCTGCTCCCAAGCGCGGCCGGATACTGGTATCACCAGTACTACAAGTACTTGATCTTGGACAAGATGGACAATGCGTTCAACCCAGGTGATCCTGCCCTCGAGGTCGCGGGTGTTGTCTCTGGAAAGCACAAGTACCGCCATGAGGAACATTGGGTCGTTCGCAACGAGCAACCCAGAATTGACGATATTGTAGCTGGGAAACAAAGTGGCCACTACTATCTAATGATTGGTGAAAAGGGCACGGGCAAGACTTCGATGCTTTTGGAGGCTATGCGCAAGATCAACGGCAACAGCTGTGCGTTGTTCGAAGCGCATGCTGATCTCGAAATCTTCCGAATTCGACTGGGCAAAGCTTTGGACTACGAGTTCCACGAGGAGTAAGCTTATACTGTCACCGCCATAAAAACATAACGCTAATAGGAATACCTAGCTATATCGGCAGTCTTTTCAGCATCCGTGGACCAAGAGACACCACGGCTCTCTTGGACATTGAACGCGCCTTCAACAAGCTAGAGAAAGTGGCTCTCACCAGAAGGCGGGATGGATCAACTCCTCTTATTCTGATCATCAACAGTACCCATTTAGTTCGAGACGACCACGATGGACAGGATTTGCTTGAGATGATTCAACAGCGTGCCGAGCAATGGGCTGCTAGTGGTCTCGTCACAACAAGTAAGAATTCGGCAAACATCTGTTCCTCTTGTCTTAGCTAACTCTGTTACTTTCAAGTCCTTAACAGCGATGACTATTGGGTATACGAGCGCTTAAAGCGTTATGCAACCCGCATGGAAGTCATTCCCGTGACAGATCTACCCAAGGACAAGGCGATGAGTGCTTTGAAGAAATATCGCCAGCAATTCCACAATGAGACACTTCCATCTGAGGTCCTCGAGCAAGTCTATGACAAAGTCGGCGGTCGACTATCCTTCTTGAACCGCGTGGCCAAGTCTCAGGACATCACAAGGACTTGCGATGAGATCTGTCAAGCCGAGAAAACATGGTTCCTAAACAAGTGCTGGATCCTTGGAATGGAGATGGATGATGATGTGATGGACCAGCAGAAGTACGCCGTAAGTACACGCTATATAACCCCCTGGTTCTTGTTCCTTTGATGCAACTCAAGCTAATTCAAACCACAACATAGTCTGCCGCTATGGTTCTGGCGAAAGCGCTGGTAGACAAAGAGAAAGCGATGGAGTCAAACTACCATGAAGAACAAGGTCACATCCTGCCAGAAATCCCGCTCCATGAAGCGCGTGAGATCATGACCCGTGCCGACTTTATCCAATCTTATGATCACGAAAATATCTTCACCATTGATTCGCGAGCCATGGTGCGTGCCGACTCAGTACCCATGCAGCGTGCCTTCCAAGAAATATGCGCTATCGAGAACTTTGACAAGCACCTGGACGGCACATTGCAGCGCATTGGAGACATTGAAAGTCTTGGCCGTACTCGCGAATTGACTATCAAAGATCTCTGGGACAGCGGCAAGTATCGCGTTGTTGTACGAGACAACCGCGGACGGGAGAGTGGGACAGTTGAATTTGCTGTGGCAGAACGCGAAGGTGAAGATCAAGATCAAGATTAGTTAGCGTTATTTTGTATAGTATGTCATACCTAAGTTCACGGACGAGAGGCCCCACTGTAATTTGTACATATACTATGTGGGAGACATCAAGTCGCCGAGTCCTTGAATTTGAGAAATAGCAATAGTGACATCATCGTATGCTCACCGCTAACCAAACATTCCACCCGCCTTCTCTTTTTCTCTTCTAAGCTTCAACTGAGTGAAAAAAAATTGCCAGAGATTTTCCCTCTAAACTCTGAATTTCAGTCATCTCGCTCTCCAAATTTGGCAACCCCAAAATGCCGACTAAAACTCCCAAGAAGCGAACTGTGTCGTGGAGCGAGAGCACGCGACCCGCGCGCGAGCTTGCGACGACGGCCACTGCACAGACTTCTCGATTGGCGTGCATCCCATCTCTAGCCCGCTTCCTCCTTGTCGTTCTAAGCAGTCTCATTGTGAGCTCTGTTCTGTTCACACTCACATCCACCTTCACCGTGGGCGATCTCGGGCCTATCAGCAAACACCTCGAAGAATGGTGGGAGGTGGGGGGCTTGATAGCCTGGAGGGCTGTGGAAGTCGGATTAGCCTGGGTTCTAGGATTTGATGGTAAGTATCAATTAGCATACACATGGCCCCTTGCGTCCGGACACGAGGATCCTACAGGCTACAGATACTAACCTTGTTGTTGTTACGATTAGGTCGTGATGTGGCATCGTTCTTATTTCTGACCCATCTGCCAACATATTCTCTCTTGTCATTCTTCTACGGCATCCGCCCGACTTCTGCATTGATAGCATATGGAGTCACGATTGTCTCAACGGCGCTTCCATTCGCCCTCCTGCGCCGGCCCTCGTCCGTCCACAATCTTTCGCATACGTCTGCTGATGCAGTTGCCAATCGAAACATTCTACAGGACAAAACTACCACTGTCTTCACAACGCTTCTGGCAACCTCGATTTTTAGCGTTGTGTTGTACGTCAGCTATGCGACTTGGCTTCCTACACAGCTGGTCATTCACTTCGAGGGTCTCCCGGATATCAGCGCGGCGCATGCTGGTCCCGCCGGCTTGCCTGTCCTCTTCCTGACGCTGATTCCTGCTGGCTGGGCCGCGCGCGACTTTTTATTTGTCAGCTCCACTGGCTATTCAACCACTCCCACTGGGTCTGCAAGCTGCTGCGAGGGTGAATATTTGGCTGCGTCCATTTGTCGCAACACTTGGGGTAAACTAACCACAAAGACGCGAGTTTTGGTTTCTCGGTCCATTATTCTTGCGCTTGTAGTCCTGATCAACACAATTGTTCAAGTGGCTGGCACAATCAGCGATGTCTCTGTCGAAGGTGCCGCCACTTGGGGAGCTGTCTGGGCATTTGCGACGCTGACCGCAGGAGCAACATTCGGCTGGATCGAAGCCGTTGATGGTGTATGATATTATACGCGATAACGACAGCATGAGGGATGTGTGTTCCCAGGTTGGCTTTCGTTTTAGCTGCGCCGGGTGCATGAGAAGTAGATTCAGTGATACCCTCATATCTAGTATCCTATCTCTTATGGCGCGCTTGATTGTAATGTCCCTGCTTCTTCCTTGCAGTACGATATAAAGTTTCTGCTGATCGCCCGTGGAGTCATTGGTGTCAATCACTTTCTTCGTTAATTAAAATTTCTGTTCTTTACCTTGTTTTCCAACATTGCTTTTTCTTGAAATATTCATTGATTATTCCTCTGGTCTTCTTATAACTTGATATCTTCAACATAATTTGAAATTGACAATTAATCATATGTTTATATCGACGTGAATCGCTGCATAACATCCAACACACCCCGATTAAGTATCTAGTATTTGCTGGGGCAATCATAAGTAAAACGTGACAGGGACAAAGAAGCACAGAGAAGCAAGACCAATCCCAGAACATGAAACATGAAACAGATAGATCAAGTACCAAGCACAATGCTCAAAGCAATCACCAGTGAGTAGGCGGACCCCCATACTTATCCGATCGATCAACCGAAGCGGGTTCCATTTTGAACGAATCCGACTTCCCACTGGGCAACATCCATCCAGGATGCAGCACATTGAATATACCCACCGAAACAACCATCATAGCCCCATCAAGCGCAATAAAGTACGTTTCGTGAGTAATGAGATAACCATCCCATCCCTGCACCAACTCGATTGTACGATAGATACTCCGAATATAGATACAGACGATGGAAAGTATCATCGCAGCGAACAGGGGCATGACCGAGCCGTTCACCGACTGCAACAGACGGTTGCGCATAGTGCGGCGGATAAAGTCAACCGCACAGACGACGAAGATTGTAATCGAGAAGAGCTGGAAGACGATGCCAGCAACCATAATGTGCGTGCCAGTTGCGGTGTCACCGCCGATCTTGTCGGCTTCTCCGGAAGCCATGCCGCCGCCGACGGCTTGGACGACGAGCGAAATTATGTCGCAGGTGCAGAAGATCCAGAGGTATAGGTTTGGCTTGATGAAGGAGGATTTGGGGCCGAGGAGTTGGATGAAGCGGCCTAGGAGGATGTAGATTCCTGCTGTGAAGAAGGTTGGGGCTGCGAATTGTTAGGTTGGGCATGGATATTTTCGGGGTAAAAAGGTAGCTTACCGATGATGAGGGTGGAGATTTGCATTAGGAAGGCAGTTCCGCTGTATGGACATTTGGATGACCAGGTACGACCGGCCCAGCCGATTACTTCGACTGTTGATGTTGTTAGTCTTGCGGGGAGTTAGGGTTTCAAGTGTCACAGGCCTTACCCAAACATCCGACACTAAACACGCTTGCCCACCATTGGCGCTTCCAGGCGAATTGGACGGTGTGGAGGATTAACGAGAGACCGAAAAGTGCGCAGTAGGCAATGCCTGCTCCTAGCGATGGGATATATCCATATGAGGTATCAACGCCTTCAATATAGGCAGGGCAGCCGTATTGTAGTTTTATCCTGTCGGCCATGGCGAAGGAAGATGAATGATTTCAAGAAACCAGTTCTGGGGAGATTGACGAGAAAAGTTATGCTAGTAGTAAATCCCTAGTATTTGGATAGACTGGATGATGGACAGAGATTCTCCAAGCGACTATAGAGGATATTTATAGACGACCACTGCGTTTGTCTAAAGTCGAGAAGATACCAATGATGGACCAAGTATCAGGCTTTAATATTTACGCGAACAAGTTGAGTATAAATAAGAGTAAGCATGGCTGAGCCCACTAGCCCCCACCATCGTAAAAGACCTTTCAAGGCCAAAGCCACGGTCTCTGAATGCACGTCTACCATTCAAATAATCTACCGGGGAGTATCAGACCCGCATCGGAGCAACAAATCCCGACATTCAAGCTTGTCAATGTCCAGTGTGCGATTTCAGCATTCAGAACGGGTTGGTAAACGGGCCGGTCCCGGTTGCTATACAAAGGGAAAATGCATACTCCGTACGGAGTGTCCATATGGTAACAACCTGCCGGACAATTGGGCGGACCACCGCCACGGTGGGGGTATCCCTAGCCTGTTAGATTACATGAGGATTGTACTTTATATGCGCTATGGATCACTTAGATGGACCATGACATCAAAGCCAAGTCAGAAAACAAAAAATACGACGAGATCTGATAGAGAATCGGCCCGAACTACAACTTACCTCGCAAGATCATACCTTTTGGGTTTAGCGGGGGTATCGCCAAGTTTACCTCAGCCCTGAAAGGGTTCCATTTATCTCCGGTAAAACCGTCGGCAGACCAAACGGGGGCTTTACAATATATAAAAGATCAAATGAGTCATGGTGAGCGAAGCACGACAATCGGAAATCAGGCACTAGGCAGTCCAATGGATTCCGGTTCCCATAGAAAACATGTCTCCGGCTTCCACCATGAAAGCATGGATTTACTCCACACTGCGATAGACATATCTTGTAGGTTCGATGTGTCCGTGGAAACAAGAGTCAGTCGGCACACCGCTTCAAGACGATGAGAGACAATCTCATTCAAAAAAATCAATGGATTCTAGCCCTGGCCCTGGTTTTGTCGGAATTTCGGATGAAAACAATCTAGGTCCACGGTTTCGGATGGCAGCGGAAGTACGTATGTGATGGAGAAAAAAATACGAGAGGAAAAAGTAAAAGGATCCACATGTTAGGGTCCTGCTGCTTATTCATAATTGATTTGATACTTTAGTTATCTTCTCTATACAACATAGCTTAAATGCAATCCTTTGCTGGCAACAGTCATGGCTAAAAGTCCAACAACGATAAAACGGTCAAAGGAGCTCATACTTCGTATACACAGCCCAAGCTGCGAAAGGAAATAGGATCGCCGATCTTCCTTCTCGCAGATCGCAAAAACAGTTGAGTTCCACCAGGCGAATCCCTCAAAAATCTTACAAAAGTAGTCCATTCACACTCAATACGGCCAAATAATAATTCCACCAAGACTGAGTCTCAAAGGTCTAGTCAACTGTTCAAGAAAACAAAGGTATCTTCCAGCTGCCACGGCCAAAAGGAGAATAAGCCTCGTCTCGGCGGGCGGGATATCAACACTGCGGAGGTATTCCGACCGGACAAATGCGTGCTGAGTGAGACCACCCATAACAAGACAACTCATACACACATCACCCATCTGTTTAGACGCCCGACAAAAAAAGTTATTTGTGGAGCTGGGGGCCATGCGACGACAGTATCTTAGAAAGTGGGGACCATGTCCTCTGTATGGACATGCGGGACTAAGGGTCCTCGTGGGGTATGTAAGAATGATATTGATGAGGCTCTCGTCTTAGTCAAGTCCAAGAGAATATACTGCTGCCTGAATTGATATACAGCATATACACATCACCTTACACACATGCAGTAATGTCCACACCTACTTCATACCTAGATACTCTCTAGAACCCTTGCCGACAGCCATGCCCCCAAGATTGACAGAACAAAGGGCAAATGTCACAGATGCTGGGCAGCTTCCAATCTTGAAGCTACGTTCGGTTATGTCATGCCCAGATTAAGCCTCGGAGGTATCCGCCGCGTGGTGTGGTGATCCACATAATCGGGGGCAGTGCAGTGATAGACTACGACGACGGCGCACGAGTAGAATCTCGCCGACTATGAATCCTTGAAGGCTGCAGTTCTTGGTCTCGGCCCTACTTGCTTCGGGGTCGCCGGCCTGAACACCTGTTGATACATGTGAATACTCTTGGCCCTAGATGTATCTAGGCTGCAATAATTAACTCGGCGTATGAGAGACAATGGCTGATTTGAATACGATAAACCAACCGCCAAATGTTGACGAGTATCGCCCCGTGCGGTTTTTTATTGGTTGATGGAGTGAGTTTATGACTGGAGCGGACCCCAAGTTTGATAAGCTATATGTCCTACATATGAAGCTTTTTCCAAAACACAACCTATAGGTAACCATGCTCGACCTGGATGCCTAGAAGAGCAAAAAGAAGGAACGGCGGGATTTAGTTGTAACATTTCATAAATGATTAATGTAGAATGACTAGGATTGCTTGAAGTAGAATTACTCAATATTCCAGAATGACTCGGCCGGTTTGTGGAAGTTGTGGAATTGCGGTGTGTCATAGATGCCTTCAGGATCTAAGAGCTAAAGTCAGTATTGATTGCATGGCAAATTGAAAATAGGATAGGGTTCTCACCGTCGCGATTTTCCACAATGTACTTCCTCGTGTTGACGATACTCCCCTCAAGCTGAGCATTCAGCTCCTGCTGATAAACCCGGACCTTCTCATTCCCTTTGGCAGCACTACTAATAGCCTGCTGAGCGACATGGAAACGCGAGACACGGTTGACAAGCATCATATCGAAAGGCGTGGTAGTGCTACCTTCCTCAATATAGCCCCCAACAGTGACGCGATCAATACGCGGGCGTCCAAAAAGCAAGCCCTGCAGCTCAGTTGGGTAGCCGTGGTAATTGAAGTGAATGGGCTTGTCAGGAGTGAAGAGCGCATCAAATGCCTCAGTGGACAGAGCATGCGGATGCACACCCTCGTTCTCAAGAATCATCAAGTCCGTTACGTTAATGACGCAAACACGCAGCTCTGGTATGAGCTTACGCAGAAGTGCCGCTGCCGCAATTACTTCGAACATCACCTCAACACCAATACCAGCTAGTACGACATCCGGATTGACTCCATCGTCTGTGCTGCAGAACTTCCAAATCGATGCCCCTGCGCGACAGTGGCTCTCGGCCTCTTTGGGAGTCAGGTACACTGGAGTCGGTTGTTTTGAGCCCACCATTAGGTTGATGTAGTTCTTCGATTTTAAACAGTGGTGAATGGTTGTCAAAAAAGTATTCGCATCCGGTGGCAAGTACACGCGAGCTGCAGTGGGCTTCAGTTTTAGCACAGAGCTGATGAAGGATGGGTTCTGGTGAGAGAAGCCGTTGTGTTCCTGGCGCGCCCAGGTGCTCGATTCG